AAAACCTCATCATGCTTATTTACAGTTTTCAAGATATTTTCATTAGCAATTTTGTCTATTCGCAATTTAAGTCAAATTCGATCAAGGTCTAATCAATAATTTGAGAAAGCTTTATCAGAGTTGAGATTAAAAAATATACCATTATTTACCAATTGATATTAATTAATTCCCAAAGTCAACAATACAGACCGCTTATTATGCTTCAACATTTTCATTAATATTTCACTTCATTTTTTGTCAAAATTGATCTTTATCAAAATTCCCATAGGTTTTTAGATACTTAAATTGTTACTGATAAATGCACTTGGGTTGTCATTGTCAATCAAGGAATAGTTAAAAAGCAAGGCCATATTTAGGAAATCAAACAAATTATCAAGTCACCTTATCATAGCTCATGGTGATCGATTCCCATCTACAGATCACAATATTTTCTACTGCATAGCCAACTCTCCCCATATTAATTGCCCTCTAACTACTTTTCATTTCATTGAGCAATGCGCGCAAATAATTCCTTTGTTATTTTCACTAACTCTGTGCAAATTTAAATTTGTTAAATATAATATATAATTATCATCCTACAACACCCCCTCATTCCAGGTGCGGTGCATTGCAACAGTTGTGGAACAATGTCAGCTTAAAAATAGCCTCGGATGCAAGCTGGTGGCAAAGAATGAATTGGTAATATAATCACCATTCAACTATTTACGGGGGTGGGTGCGCGTCTTGTAGAATCAGTTGGCCTTCACGATTACACATTGCAGGAAAAAAGCTGGCAAGGAATGTCAAATTGCGTGGAAGGTAAACCTTAGAGTCACGCTAATTTTGCTTTCACTGTGCAGAAATGCAAAAGCAGTGCGCTTTGTCAAAGTTATAACCTTGGTACGATCTTTAAATAAATAAAATTACAGTTGTAGTCTTGTTTTAATTCTGGATGGACACTTTGGCTTTCGAGACTGACATTGAATTGTATGACCTTGGACCAATGCCCTAAATGTTGCTTAAACAGAAATCTAAAATCTCTCTGCAATGCAAAACCTAGAATTCTCCTTATCTTTCGGGCATTACTTCTATACATTATTGAACTAGCCAATCACCATTCTCTCACTTCATCAGAAATGTGCTGTTCACTTAACTGATAAATTAATCTGAAGCATTTGAAATGGTCAATTAACACCGAGAAAAGGCGGAATAAATTCCAAAAATCTGACATCTGGCCTTTTATTCGCTCTCTAATCCTCATGGAGCTGGACTTGGATTAGAGAGAGAGCTATCCAGGGGTTTTTCTTTACTTTTAACGCATTCTACCACCTCTCTTGTGTACCACGATTAGCCAACACTACTGAGTAGATACGATGAATATTGATAGAGTGGCCTCTAATTTGGCTGGCATGCAAGTTAAAGATATATATTTACATCAAATGCCAGACCTTATGATAGTTATCACTGTCCCTTTAGTTGACTTGGGGCTTCACAGAGGGGAGGAACAGGCAAAGTCACAAGAAGTCGAGAGGGGGAAGAGAAGAGTGATTAACAGATGTTGAAGAGGCAGACAGAGACAAAGGTAGAGGTAGGGTAAGGTGAATACAGTGGAAATGGTCGGATATGACCTGTAGTCAGGTCATGGTAGTTTGAAGTGAGAAGCTAACTGCCAGTTAATACACTTTTTTGCCGTTTGAGTTTACGTCGGCCAGGGTACACCACGTTGAGATAGATCTGACTCACTCTCCGAGTTAAAAATATCTATTGACTCCATAAGCAACGAATTTATGAAATTGGTTAATAAGGCGTGTGAATATGCCATCAATAAACAATCGATTGAACATTGAATATATGCGAACGAGACAATCCACGCAATTTAGAGTTTCTGATAAATCCACTGTTGCCAAGATGAAATATCATTGCAGAATTTCATTTGACTCTGAATCGGAGAAGGAAAACGACGCAGCCACATGATCAACGAATTGAAGGTTAGAACACTCGCAGAAAATCGAAAAAGAACACTGTTCTTGATAGGAATTATAAAATTGCAACTTATATTCTATTTTAAGAAACATTTAGAGAGAGCCTTGCATAGAAAACAAATATTGGCCTATATGCTTTTAGTGAATACATGACCAGGATTTAACTGATAGGAATGTTCAAAATCTATTCTCAAACAGAAGCTTATTAAAACATTAATTAGATGTAGGCGTAATCTTTTTTAGATTGTTCCTTTGTATGACATTGTTACAATGCTCACTGTTATGAGCAGGACAGTCGTATAAAACTACCAACGTCTTAAAGGCCACTTCTCATTTATAATCTACTTTTCAGTAGATTCTGTATTCAAGGGAATGTCGACTCCAGGACGAAGAGGTTTCGACTCTTCAGCAGTGCACGCTGGAAATTAAGTAAATGGTTCCCATTTTTCTCTTAGAAAACCTGTGATCAAGGATAGTCCTTGGAATTTAAAACAAAGCCATTGTCTTAACACACATTTCTCGCCAATTAATAATAAGTACACGGGGTGCGCGATAGACTTACCTCCACGTGGTGCACCCTGGGCAACGCATACTCATGCGACAAAAAATATCTATAAACCGGCAGTTGACTTCTGACTTCAAACTACCATGATCCCACTGTATGTCAATTTCGATCACTTCAACAGTACTCATCTTACCTTTTCTCTGCATTTGTGTTCATGTGTCTCTTGACATCTGTGAATAAATCTTCTTTCCCCTCTAGAATTTTTTTCACCATTGTGTTACTCCTCTCTGTGAAGTCCGAAGTCAGGTAAAGTGCTAATGATAAGTATCATAACGCCTGTCATTTGAAATAAAATAAATAAATAAATAACAAGTACAAGGAATGACAATTTCTTTACACTTGCTCCTTTAAATAACATTTATCTTGTATAAAAGGATAATTTTAACTACATTTTTCCTCGATTGCAATGCAAATGTTTGTTTTTTTAAGAAATTAACTAAGTTAAAACATGATCCTCAATAAAAAATTCTGTTCCTTCGTTCAAATTTTCCCATGCCAATTCACATTAACATTCATTCTTTAGCTTCACCCCCCATTTATATTATAATTAAATTTCTTTTATTTTTGTAGTCACTCTCCCAAAGCACAATTTAACCTCTAAAAATTTACAGCTGTTGTGTCAGTCTTTATAAATTAGGGAGAGGGGAGGGGGGGGGGGGGGGGGGGGGGTATTAATTGTCATCCAAATACAACCTCTTTGAAGTTACTTAAAATCTCCCTCAAAAGGGGCATACTTAAGCACCATGCAATAATGGGCTTTGAGGGATAAGTTCTTACCTAATCCGAACCGCTGTTTCACTCCGAAGTGGTCTTTAAGAAAGTTCGAAGAAAAGTAAGGCTTCGATTTATCCTAATTTAAAGTTCCATTTATGCTTCGGAAAACTGCCGTAATATCGCTGAAACACCTTAAGTAACACGGGTGTCTCCCACTTAACCAGCTTAACCAGGCTATCAATACCTTCACCACCCAGTCAGTGTAGTCTATCTGACCAGAATCCCAAGGAGAACAAATTCCATTTTCGTAGTTTTAGGAAGCGTTTAGGCTAATTTTCCAGACTCTCCGCCCCCCACCCCCCCTCCCCACCCCCTCCTACCCACCACTCCTTCTGAGCCCATTTAAATAGGGGAAAAAAATCCAGGATAAGAGGAAGATGTATATATTATTTAATGTAAAAAATTAAAAATCCTACAAAGCAGCACTAAGCAAGCGCGTAGATGGAAATATAAGTATAGAAGGGAAAGATAGAGAGAGAGAGAGAGAAAGAGATAGTGAAAGAAAGAGAGGGGAAAGGACAATATAGAGGATTTGCAAAATATGTAGGTAGGCAGAAAATTCACAACGCTGTGTTCTGATTTTATTCCCTCGCTCATTGAACGTATAAATTCGAGTTTGAAACACTTTCAAAAAGAGAGATAACGTTGGAGTTAAGAGAATGATAGGAGAGGGGGGGGGAGGATTAAATTTATGCAGAAAGAGATAATAGGGTGTTGGAAAAAAGTAGTATAAATGCGATTCTAAGTATGGCCAATCGCAGAGTGTGACTAGATATTAACGACCGATCGATAAATAGAGAGAGAGAGTGAGTGCAAATAGTACTGAGAATGAAGTAAGTAGCAAGCTGCTGTTTTTTGCTAAAGGGGTGGGGTGGTATAGGAGGAGGGGGGGGGGTTGGAGAGGGGAAAAATAAGGGCTCTGAGGGGTAAAAGCAGGGTGGGAGGCAAATAAGTTATCTCGTTGTTGTGAGTGGCAAGCCTTGGAATTTTCAGCTGATGTCGCTCTCTGGAAAGGCTCTTGCCTTCTGCCCCTTCCTCGTAATTGCTGTATTTTTCGAGGTTTTCTCTTCCTTCACCATAGGAATGACACGTTCAAAGCGATATCATCAAGCTGTGATTAATTGCTCTGAATACAAAGGCTGCCTGTAATAAATATATATATGTATATATATGCGTAGATCTGTACTGAGGCGAAAGATGATTAGCAGAAAACATTTGGGAAGGGTTGGAAAGGATAGCTAGGTTTGTTTAGATAAAGTGTTAGTTCAATATATAGCGTATGTTTAATTGTGAAAATAAGAGAAGTGTGGGATGGAATATTAACACAATTTTTTAGTGTAAAGTATCATCTTTGTTTAAGTAGGAATAGCTGAAAAGCCTGAAAGAGGTAAATATCAGGTCTGGAAGACAATCGTTACTCTCTGTTGTTGCCACTTTTCTTTAGAAACCTTCCGCAAATAAATGGGGTAGTAAGTAGTAAGGGGAGAAATTTGAATAACAGCCCGGATAGAATGGAAGACCGTCTGAGACAGAGTGATAGATAATATAAGAGGAGGTTTTCTAGTCAAATTTTGGTTATGTTAAATTGTTTTCTCTGAAGTGAGGCAAGAAGTACAACCAAAATAGATGAAGCAAATGCTAGAAGCCCATTGAAATGCGTGTTTTTGAAATGCGCAAGTGGCCCATTAATGACTGCAGTTCTATTGATTCTGAGAAGGATTTGTCAATGCTGTTACTGCAGAACCAGTTGTATTCGAACTCGCAGTCCACACACCACGGCTTTGTTCTAGAGCAGTTGTCTGTTGAACAACGACGTTGCTGAAGGAGGCATGAGGATTTGCAGTTGTCGCATTTCCATTTCCACTTGGTGCTGTCAGAAACACAACTTGCTGCTTCTGCTGTTGCTGAGTAATAGAAGCCCTGCTAGCGGTTTGTGGAAGTTGGATGATTGTTGAATTCGCTGAATCAACGCATGCATGTTGATGGAATATTTGCTGACTTGCGTGCACTCGTCCTCCAATCACTTTCGTGTTATTTGGACCTCTTTGTATCCACTTGGACAAATCGTCTATTATAAACACACAAAAAAATATTGGAGTCTGTCAACTAAATCAGTCTGCCGAAGTGGCATAAGATGAAATTATTCATTGTACTATGCTACCCGCCCACGTGTGATTTACTTATCGATTAAATCTACCGCCGGGAGTAAACTGCATTATTGATTTTAAAAATAATTTAACGGCCGCAAGCCGGATAATCTGAGCGTTAATCGGTTAATTTTCGCGTCAATTAGGCTAAGTAATGTGCCAAAATGGGTGGTTTGAAGAGCTGGCAGACTAATTTCTAGGTTGCCTCGGGTAAAAAATAAACTAAGTATCTGAATTTAGCTGCTTAGTAGAATTCGAGCCATCTTTTGTACGTCCAAGTACATCAGCGCATAAAAGTGGCTTGAAAGTGGGTTAAATTTATTATCTAAACCGCAGGAGAGCTGAGTCAACCCCCGCCTGCTAAAATATTGCCTTGCATCTGCTGTAAGCGTGTGTCGTTGTTGCATATGCAAAAGCACACAAAAGGGGATAATTATCTAGTGGGCAGCAAGCGTTGAATCATAACTGCCCATATTAGGACCCAATTTGGATTGCGTTCTAACTCCTACCCAAATAATTACGACGGTCATATGATGAAATTATAGGCAAGCGAATTCGATTGTTAGGCTGTTGTTAATTCAACTTCTATTTTCAGCTGGGAATTGTGCATGCTGCGAAGCAAGCGAAACACTCATTTTGTTGGAATCTGCCATTTATGGTAAGATGCGTCGGCGGCCCTATTGGGGAACGCGCGTGATCCCATTCTGAGCCAAATATATCACCTCTCGTTACTACTAGCCAAGGTACCTAATTTAGTACCTCTAATATCTACATATTCTAGCCCACCTTCGCCCTCTCAGACTGCTTAATATTACTGAGGACAAAAGTAAATCCAATTAGTCTTCTAGCACATTTCAAGACTGGTGTCATAATTTGACTGCCAAATAAAGAAATTAATTATTGATCTCATAACCATAGCATAAGATAAATTCATTAATCATGACTTAAGTTTTTAAAGTGTGTGTCTTTATCTCTATGTCGTTTTAACTCTTTAATGCCCTTGGGACCTTACGGTCCTCTTTCAAAATAAGCTCCATTGGTATTCGACTCATAACAGAAGGCGATATTGGCGTTTGAAACATGTTTACTACGTGCCTAGAGTCCTCCCCTGATACACCGTCCAAACTCATCACATCAGCGGCATCGGTCTGCTACTGGGGGACGCGTGTGAGTGTGGTTGGGTGAGTTTTTGCCCGAAAAATAATCTGAGCGTTAAAGGGTTAATGAGCAAAATAAAAACTTGCGAAAACATTTGTCACAGGCAAGATTTTGCGTCGTATCAATTCATATCTACCGTCGTCATCTGCTTGGCAGAGGGGGGGGGGACGAAGAATGATTGCATCGTAAACAACAGAATAGTAACCCACTTTGACAAACTAATTAATAAGCCATTGGCTCAGCTAACTATGAGTTCACTCAAAAGACCAATGAAGCATTAGAAAGCAAAGCATTGAGCTGAACACGGAACGCATGAAGGGTCAAAGTCGAAGTCATGACCTTGTTCTCCACTCCTACCTTATCCTCCCTCCTCCCCCCCCCTCCCCGATTCCCCAACCAATGTCGGGCTATCAAACTATTTCTCCAACTAAAATACTTCCCCAAGGGGAAATCTTGTAATTAGACCCTGTTGATTAACGTTATTTCGGCTGTTTATAAATGGAATTCCTTCATCGGCAAAGGTTTTTTAAATGCCATAATTTATATTAAGTTTAAAAGAAGCCAAAATGCGACTTTCTATTTTTTGACGAAAAAAGCTTACATCTATTATTCTTGAAATTGTCGCAAATACAGTGGTACAAGTTGGCATTATTTTGGGCCAAAGAGAGTTTATCTCATTTCATAGATTGATTATCAGTGTTGTATTTTTTTTCAAAATGAACGCAATTTGTCGATTTTTTTATTAAATTCAAATCACTTACCAGTTGATAATATAGATCGTGATCCATCTATTCCGTTAGCAGCAACAAATTCAATAAACCCTGAATTTGATCCACTGTTCGCCGAAACGCTTCCAGAGCCGTCTTCGACAGAAGTCGTGAATTGGCCTCCACCACAAATACCTCCAGCAGCGGGAGAATGGAAAAGCGTAGCTGTTTCATCTCCCCTAGGAACTGAGATAAATCCAGTTTGAACGATTGATTGACTGAAGCCGCCAGTAGGAGTTTGTTGGTGCTGTTGTGGTTGAATTTTTGACGAAGCTTGTGGAAGTAGAGAAATCGTGGAAGTCGGTGCAGCGGTAGCTCGATTACATAGCTGGTTCTGCATTGTGGCTGGTTGAAGTACCATTGTACCATCTGGCTGCGGTATTAGAAACTAAAGGATTAAAAAAATTATTGTCAATTCATTCAGAAAGTTCTCTTGAATCAACTTTTATCAGATGTAACGAGAGCGGAAATTGGATTACATAACTTTCCTGGTAATATTGATTTAAATCTGAAGTATAGCTTTTAGGTAAACTATTTTTCAAAACTCTGATCACCATAAAATTGAAAAGATACATATGTAGGTCTTCATGGAGACGCTGGGATGGAATGAAATTTCCTCATTTCCAAAGAATTATTTCAAATCTTCTCCTGCATCTTTGACTAAATATTCTTTCCTTTGAGTTTTAATTGAGGTTATATAATTTAAATAAAATTTATATTGAACACATGGGGTGTGCGATAGACTTACCTTTACGTGGTGCACCCTGAGTAACGTATACTCATACGGCAAAAAAGTCTATTAATCGGCAGTCGACCTCTGACTTCAAAAACCATCACCCCACTGCATTTCATATTCGACTAATTTCACAGTGCTCACCTCACCTTTTTTCTACCTTTGTGTCTGTCTGTCTCTTTTACGTCTGTGAATCATTATTCTGTCCCCCTCTCGACTTTTTGCCACTTTGGGGTTCCTCTTCCTTTCTGTGAAGCCCGAAGTCAACTAAAGGGCTAATGATACCTATCATAACGCCTGCCATTTG